TTATGATCATTATATTCTCACTATCTTGGTGTTCGACTTTAGTTTATGTGATTTTTATTAATGTTATTCTTTTCAAATAATTTAATACATTTTGGAATCTGACTAAATCCAATATCATTTACATCTGACAAATCCAATGGAAGAGTGCGATTATCATCTTTGGCAAACTCACATCCACATTCTCAGGTGATTAAATTTAGTGTTGATACTTAAATCAAATCTTTATTCAGTCTGTTTTTTTAAATAAAATAATTCTTCAAAATAAAATCAGTTACAATCGATTTCTACTAGAATATTCTCTGAAAAAGTTTCTCAAAAAAATCTCCTATATAGGTTATATATCATTTTCATTTTATTCTATAATATTATCAGTTACATCAGACTTTTTCTCAAGTTATAATATCAAATTAGAAGAATAACTATTTGACATTAATAATATAGATAAAAAATAAGCGAAGATATTCAAGTTACTTGTTATAATCATAATATATAGATATTGATTCGATATTTTCGTTATATCAAAATTCATTTTATTTTACAAAAATACAAAGAAAATGGAATTTATACAATATTCAACATTTTTAATTAATATAATGTTGATGAATAGAAGCAGGAATACCAGTTATTGGTTGATAGTAATTATTACCGATTGGAGTAAAATCAACTTCACGTTCAACATTAACTCGTCCTGTATATGGATTTCGATAAAGTTCAACATCTTGTGAATAAATTCCATAACCATAATTACCATAAGCAATCGTTTGATAATCTCTATTCCAGTTATTCATTGGACTAATAGCGGCAATTGGTTGTGTAAACATTTTGTTAATAATAGTAAAATGTAATGAATAATAAATTTATATTTGTATGAATGTATGAAAATGAGAAAGAAGTGTATGAGTATTTATACTATATGATAATACACCTGTATAATAATAATAATATAAATAAGTACGTCATCGTTGTACGTCATCAGTGATGTCATAGTTATATTGTACTCATCCCATCAATGATAAAAATAAATGTTGTTAAGTGCGATTGAGTCGATGAAGAATATTTGTGAATATACTCAAAGATTGTTTTATTTTAATTACATTTATTATAATAATTCATTTTGATAATTCTTATGTTGTTTCAACTGTATATTGATTAAAACTTAATTATTAATATATCTTCGAAGTGATTCGACTTTTTTATAAAATAGTTTCAACACACTTGGAATGATTTCTGAGATTTTGTTTCATACAACTCAGTCTTTCATAATTAATTTTTATTTTCAATTTGTTTAAAACGTTATGTAAGGGTCACATAATGACAAATAACTTTAATCAATAAAACAGAATCACATAAGTTTAGTGAATCCTGGTCATGAAGTTGTGAAACAAATTACATTTGGTATAATTTTATTTAAAAATATTCAGTCGTAATTCTATGATTTATTATTCGTAGAATGAAAATAATTTCATAGAGATAAAATAAAATATTTGCATTACAAGTTGATCATTTTACGAAATATCTGAAGATTGATTTTATTATATTTTTGGGAGCCGATTTTTAAGATGTTCGATAGTTTTACATTTAACTAATAATTTCTTTTATTTGCGTAAACATTTTTATGGAAAATGTTAAACCATCTTTAATCACACAAACAAATTTTTTTTCGTTTCACTTTCAGTTTGTTATTTCTCTTTCAAAATAAAAATGAAATGATTTTTGAGTATATTCACGAATATTCTTCATCGACTCAATCGCACTTAACAACATTTATTTTTATCATTAATGGGAGTACAACATAAATATCACATCATTGATGACGTACAAGTATGACGTTCTTATTCATATTATTATTATACAGGTGTATTATCATATAGTATAAATACTCATACACTTCTCTCTCATTTTCATACATTCATACACAAATACAAACTTATTATTTATTTTACATTCTACTATTATTAATAAAATGTTTACTCAATCAACTGCTGCTATTAGTCCAATGAATAGTTGGAATAGAGATTATCAAACTATTACTTATGGTAATTATGGTTATGGAATTTATACACAAGATGTTGAACTTCATCGTAATCCATACACAGGACGTCTGAATGTTGAACGTGAAGTTGATTTTACTCCAATCGGTAATAATTATTATCAACCAATAACTGGTATTCCTGCTTCTATTCATCAACATTATATTAATTAAAGTGGTGAATCTTTAAAATGAATATTATGTAAATTCTTTTCTTTTTTTCTTTGTGTTTTTATAAAATAAAATGAATTTAATATAACGATAATATTGAATTAATATCTATGTGTTATGATTAACAAGTAACTTGGAGATCTTTGCTTGTTTTTTATCTATATTATCTATGTTAAACAGTTATTCTTTTAATTTGATATTATAACTTGAGAAAAAGTCTAATGTAACTGATAATATTATAGAATAAAGCGAAAATGAAATAGAACTCATTTGTTAGTACGAATACATATAGGTGATTGTTTTAAATGCATAAATGAAGCTAGCTTGTTCGGATTTTTTAAAAATATCGATTATACAAATACAAAAAGTCAATGATTATAATTGATATTATTTTAGTATCGAATTTTCTCAGAAATGTTTGAAGACTTTGACAAAACAGGAAAATTGGAAGACATAATTTCATAATATGCCTTGATTGATTCCCTTTTTCACGTATTTGACAAATCCTTTCTTAGTTTTGATAAATTTTCTCAGTTAGTAATAAATAAATTATGTAGAATATCTTATTCACTTTATTTGAGCATATAGTTGTACATGACGAGAAATCTTCATTATCCAATTATTCTAAAATCTTACTTAACTAACGACCAAGGGTGAGTAAACAAGACACGCGTAAAGAGTAAGAATATGGATGAAAACAAAACCTATGCACAGACATGTTTTTACAAAAATATTAACGTATATGTTAAATTATTCAAAATTTGGCTATTTATCCGAGACGTTCGTATATATTTCAAATATTATGACTTTTAAAAATTATGGAAAGAAAAAAGGATGTTTGTTGCGTCTATCGTCATGAAAAAAAACATTCTTATCTTTCTTACTGAATATTTATAATAGGCGTTCGAATAATATTTCTTTACATATGTACAATACATGAAAAAACAACGAAAGAAACAAAGCTTTACATATTATAAAACACACGATTTTAACAAAAGAAAGAATATAACGAATACACCTATTCATTTCTATTCTCACCATCAGCTATATCGACAATTTGGTAATTTTTATTTGGCGTTAATTCAATTAGATAAATACTCCTGGTCAACTACTGAACATTATTTTCACGCACAAAAATTTATTTCAAATAAAAGGCATTATAAATATATTTTAGGATTAGCTACTCGTCGAGAATTATTTGATTATGCTCAAACTCATGATACATGAAAATATTCCCAGAGGGAAAATCTTGAGGGTGGGTGCGGGTGCGAATGTGAGTATCTCTTCTCTTAACCTCAACCACATCCACACCCACATCCACACCCATACCCACATTCACGCACACTCACACTCAGATCTACACTCACCCACACCCACGCTCACTCACACCCCTCACGTACATCCACACCCACACTCACATCCATATCCACCCCTCACCCACACCCGATGACAATCGATTTGATGAAGCTGATTTTCGACCAATTTTGGTTGGCGGAGGTAAACTGAATAATTTCATCATCTTGACTCATGCCACATCAATAAACAAATATGAGTTGGAAATTTTGAGCTGTACAATTTTTTTAGTTAAAGCTTTTTGTTAAAACTAACTGCCAGAGGCAATGTTTTTTTCGTTAAAAAGGAAGTAGCATGGTTTCTTTGTTCTCATTTTCTTTTCTTTTTTCACTCATCAAATATATAATTCAATAAAGTTGTTATTTTCAAACCATTTTTTTTCTCTTCACAAACAAACTTGGAATTTCAGTCGATGAGTATATATACCAAACGAACATGCGTTTCATGATTTTAAAAAACAAGTAAGAAAAGAATCATTTCAATTTGTAACTATAAATTTGATCGACTCTCGTTCGATTATTTCACAACGTCTATATATGAAACATAACGAAAGTAATACAAGAAGAATATTCTTTACTTAATAATTCATACTATTGTATGCCACAATGGAAAAACTTTTGAGTTCAAGCTTTATGCTTTTATTCTGTGTGCCACTTTTAGAGTAAGTATTGATTACCAAGCTCTACATATTGTATACTTTTTTCTTCGTCTTCAACGATAAAAACACATCAGAACAACAACTACGTAATTATTAATAATGACTATGATTTTTTTCTATTTTTTTATTATTTCTTTCTTACTTAACTCATCAATAACAGCAACATGTAATTTTACTGCATGTAATTCTCACCGGATATCATACTCGTCGTTTTGGTAGAGAAGCGAAGATTAATTTTCTGTGATCAGCAGTTATCTCACCTGTTTCATTCGAATTGATGAGGTAAATGAGTAATGATTACAAAAATGATTCATTACGTAGCAATGCAAAGAAGAGAACGATAAGTAATCGAAAAAAAATTATGAAGATATTATGAAATGTACTGTTTTTAGAAGGAAAGTGTTCATCAAAATGAAGATCTGGGAAAGTTTTTCAAAAAAAACTGAATCCTACTAAAAATGTTAAATACAACATATTGGGATGCAAAATAATTTCTATGTAATTGACGAGAAGTAAAGAATATATATCATTTTGAAGTTAGATTTGATCGTCTCGAATAAGAATGAGTCAAAACTTGTTTTTAATATTGTTTTTTATTTTGATTTAAATTAATGAATTAATATAACATCAAATCTCATAAATATATTAAAAAAAATATTCAATGAGTTAGTTTATCTTTTTCTATAATTATATCAATATTCATCAACAATTTGGAAAGGCAAAAGAGTTCTTTTTGTCGATTTTAGATTATAAAAATATTCGAGTTTGACTAGAACAACAACTATGAGCATGAGTAACACAATCCGACCTGATGAAGTAATGTATTAAATAAAAAGAAAATTATTTTATTTTATTTTTGAATATTTTAGTCGGCAGTAATTAATTCTAATAGAACACCATTAAGAAGATTGTATGTATATATTGTGAATAAAAATAAATCATCAAAAAAAATTTATTATTTTAGATGCGAACATTCTGGAAAGCGAAGATTAATTTGGATAGTAGTTTTTATTATCTGTATTGTTGTAATTACAGTTGTTGTAACAACTACTGTTCTATTGACGAGAACTGGAAGAGAAAAAACGACAACTACAACAACAACAACAACAACAACAACAGCAACAGCAACAACAACAACAACAACAATAACAACAACAACAAGGAGTATGATTTTGTTAAAACGAGTGGATTCTAGAATTTCGCCAATGCGACTTTCGCCAACGCATCTCCTGAAATTTTGCTAATTGCCGAAAGCACAGTAGATTTTTGCCAATTTCATTGTGAATTAGATATAGACTAAAAATCTTTTCTTAGCTACATTGATGAGTGTAAGCTATCATATGCCTATACTAATAGCATTAATGTGAGCTCTAACATATATCCTTTATTAATATTGTTTTGTGACAACTGGCGAATGTTTTGTTGGCGACAGTCTTATCGGCGAACATTCCCCCAACTAAACTAGTTAGTCTCTTATTTCAAAGAATTCATAAAAGAGAAATTAATGTTAGAATTAGTTTTTTTTTCAATTTTAGATATTTTATCCGAATGATAACATAAAATAGTTTAATCATGCATAATCGAAAGTCGTACATCATAGTTTCTATGAAATAATTTCAGAAGGTTCACGGAAAGGCGAATGAGAATGTGTCATTGAATTCACAGTTCAACCATCTGCATCCTTGAGGATGTGGGTGTGGATGCGATGTAGAAAGACGATCATTACCCACACTCTTCGAATTGGTAAAGTATATAATTATATACTTCATATACTCCACCAATTCTAAGGTTTTTGATCGAGTATATACCATAGTATCAGTACATATATGAGAGCATATGATTATGTCTATGTACTTCACCAAATCTAAGGTTTGTAAGTCACCACATGATTTCATCTCAGTACATATATTCAGATCGATCAATTCCAAAAAATCGTATAAATCTGAGTACATTTTGAACTCGTACTTTCGCAGCCCTCTTTTCTGTTGCTGTTAGTGTTCTTATAATATTAATTTATAGTTGTTTGGTGTAGCTTAAGAAACATTATTGTCCGTTAATGTTATATTTTTTGTAAAATAGATGATTCATCTGCGATCAAATTTAGGAACAGAGTATATGTGAATGTAATTCAATTTTGATCGAGACTTTGAGATCATCATTCTATAACCAGCAGTTATCTCATTTATGGTGGACCGACAGTTGAGCCCCCGACAATTGAGCCCCGACAGTTGAGCCCCGACAATTGAGCCCTCGACAGTTGAGCCCCCGACAGTTGAGCTCCCGACAATTGAGCCCCCGATATAGAGAAGAAATTAGAGAACACAAGAAAATGATTTTACTCCAACAAAATAACATTTACATCAAAAACTAAACAGAGAGCGTGCTCTTTTAAAATACATTTCTCTTGTAATCAAACGTAAAGAAGATACTAGGCAGGATGTGGGTATTCTGGAGGATTTTATAACTGACATTTTGTAATAATAATAACAGATAAGTGCACAAGCAAATGTGTTGATTACATAAATAAGCGAAATATATTCCGAAAAGTTATTTGTTGTACTAAAGATGACTGGTTGAATCAAAGAAGGATATTCTAGCTGACCATTATTACCATCAAAAGATTTCGCGTATCTGTGCGCTTCACTTTAAAATTCATCTAACAAACCACATAAGAATTTTCTATGTTCCTTATTATCTTCTCTATATCGGGGGCTCAATTGTCGGGGGGCTCAACTGTCGAGGGCTCAATTGTCGGGGCTCAACTGTCGGGGCTCAATTGTCGGGGGCTCAACTGTCGGTGTACCCTCATTTATATTGTTTTGATTGATGAGATGATCGAGTGAACTATATAATTAGACATTAGGTGATGTCTTCATCTTTAGATCAATCTTTTATCTCATGTTTGGAATATTTGTATAGGTTTGTTTTTTTTTCTATGATATTGCATGTTCATTACATAAAAAGATGGAAATAGTAAATTGATGAAAAATTATTGTTGTGCTAATAAATTCAAGTGGAACATTTGATAAGATATAAAGCATCACTGAGAATAGAGTTGAGACTAACAAAATAATAGAATTTGTGTAAATTAATAAAGAACTAATAAAGATTTGATGGTGAATTATCAGAAATTTCGAGATTAATCACTCATTTTTTCATTAATTTATGTTTTATATCAGTTTCAGTGATGAATACTATATAGTCCTTTGCAATCCTATATATTGATCATAGTAAAAAGAAATGTTATGAATAATTCACTATTTTAATTGTGATATCTAGAAAACTATGGAAGAGTTGACGTACAGTTCATACTTTTCATTCTATTAGATATCTTTGGACCATAGCTTGTAAAATTTATAGAGAATCGAAAAACACATTAGTTAGCGTCATTATCACAGTGATTAATTTGAGACAAAACATGTTTTATATATTTGATTGAGATAACAGACGAAACAGAGAATATAGAAAAGTGAAGATGTGATAATGATATGTGAAGAGATTTTGTGCAATACATTTGAGTACTATTCTTGATATACATAAGTTTGAGGTGATATAAAATAGACATATGAAAGACTGTCTTTTTTGGAATAATGAAAAATACTGTACAAGAGTAATGAATGTTGATTGTTTGAATATCTAATATTGTATTTTCGAAACATATAAAAATGTAACTTCTAGGATGGTTTTCTACTGGTAATATGACTACTGCACGAATTTACCACACAGCATCTGTATTATCAAATGGAAAAGTATTAGTTACTGGCGGAAACTACGGTGGCGCTTTAAATAGTGCTGAGCTGTATGATCCATCAACAGGTATTTGGACAACTACTGGTAGCATGCATAATGCACGAGAAGTTCATACAGCATCTGTATTATTAAATGGAAAAGTATTAGTTACTGGTGGAGATATCAATGGCGCTAGTTCTTTAAATAATGCTGAGCTCTATGATCCATCAACAGGTATTTGGACAACTACTGGTAGCATGCATAATGCACGAGAAGTTCACACAGCATCTGTATTATCGAATGGAAAAATATTAGTTACTGGCGGAAGAAAAATTGTTCATAATGGTTCTTTAGATAGTGCTGAATTGTATGATCCATCAACAGGCACTTGGACAACTACTAGTAATATGACTATTACACGAGCACACCACAGTGCATCTGTATTATGGAATGGAAAAGTATTAGTTACTGGTGGATGGAATGGAAATATTGCTTTAAATAGTACTGAATTGTATGATCCATCAACAGGTACTTGGACAACTAGTGATAACATGAATAATGCACGATATTATCACACAGCATCTGTGTTATCCAATGGAAAAGTATTAGTTACTGGTGGAAATGGTATTGGTAGTATTTTAAATAGCGCTGAGCTGTATGATCCATCAACAGGTACTTGGACAACTACTGGTAACATGACTATTAAACGAGAGTTTCACATAGCATCGGTATTGTCGAATGGAAAAGTATTAGTTACTACTGGAGATACCGATAGTTTTAGTCCTTTAAATAGTGCTGAGTTGTATGATCCATCGACAGGTACTTGGACAACTACTTGGAACATGATTAGTGCACGAGAGTATCACACCGCATCTGTATTGACGAATGGAAAAGTATTAGTTACTGGTGGACGTGGTAGTAGTTTTAATGTTTTAAATAGTGCAGAATTATATTAATTATTTCAAACAAAGTAACTTTCACTTATCCTATTTTTTTTCTTGCAAGTAACTCAAATTTCCAAATAATATTTTAGCTAGAATAATTCTCATTTTATGACGTCCTCAAACTGTTTCCTTCCGTATTTTTGCTGAATTATCACACACTTCAATATTCCACCCCAAATAAAAATAAATATCTTTGTTTTTTCTACTCTTATATATCAGTTTATTATGATTAACAAAAGTTATAATTAATACGATAGTTTTAGTTACCCTTTCAGATGTTCTTTTTGTTTTTGCAGTGTACCTACTCATAGTATTCGATTGTTTTGATAGCATTCATCGGATTTAGAATGCATACGATCATTGAAACATTTCGCTTACAAAAGCGCTTTGAGGAAAGTTCATAAATACAATAGATGAATATATCTGTAAATAACAACAACAATAAATCTACAAATATATCAATATATAGCGTAATATGAATGTAGATGCGTAAAACAAAATGCCGTATTTAACTTATTTGCTTTTCTATATAATTATGCATTTCAACGAAAGAAAACAAATGGATAGAGAAGATCTATCGGATACTTCTATTAAAATATCTGTGCATAGTTGTATATTGATCTACTTTTTCTTTTGTTAAAATTTGACTTTAAGACCATATTCTGGATCTTTCATTCATAATATCTTATGGTTCCTGTTCGTGTTAGTAAAACTATGTCCCTTGATGTTACCACATCTATCATTCATGACGTATTGATATAAATTGTTTGAAAGATATGTATTTATAGATGTGAAAGTGTCAAGTATTAGTAAAAAAACCACTCGAATCTAGATAACTAGCATAGATTCATTATATCTTTTTTTTAATAATATTTCGACATTCATCTACTCATAAAATTATTATGTAATAGTAACTGGTTTAAAGTATATTCTTTTTTTTTCATTTGAGTCAAAATTCTGTATAAATTCTATTGCATTTTATACATTATTGAATCGTCAAAGTTAATATTTATTATACTTTTGAAACGCTTGCTGTTTGATTGTAAATGTAATTTTCGTATTTGTGAAAAAATAAACACAACATATCAAGAAAATAATCAGAGCAAAATCCTATTTATTTATCATGAAATAAATACAAAATAATTTTTCATTCTTACTATATACATACTAAATAATAATTTCTTATTTATTCATGATTCGATTATAAAAACTATGTGCTTATTTTTTTCTATTTTTATTGGATAAAAAGAAAAGAAAAGAAAAGAAAAGAAAACAGAATATATGACAAACAGCCTTGATAAAATAAAACAAATGAAGATTGTACGCAATAGACTGGGTTTTTTTCTCTTCTGTCTACATATCAAATTAATTAAATGAATAATACAAGTAGACTAATTGGATATTTCGAACAATTACCCAATGAAATTTTATTAGATTTATTTGAAAATTATATGCGTTTAATTGATGTTTATTTGGCATTTTATTTTCTTAATAATCGTCGAATAAATAAAATTATAAATTCTGCTCATTTTTATATTGATATACCTTCAAAAGATATATTTCATATGAAATCTTTTTCACATTTTGCCAATCAAATTGTTTCATTACGTTTATCAATATTTTCTAATGATGATTTAGATTTATCAAAATTAATTAATCTACGATATTTACATATAGAAAAACCAACAAATAATCAATTAATTTCAATTCGACCTGAAATACTCCCGCAATTGTATCATCTATCACTTTCACCTTGTTGGTATAGTGTGGGAGAATTACCAAAACCTTTAGAAAATATTAATCAATTATGTTCTTTCAAATATTTACGTTATTGTATTTTACCTGATGGAAAAATGATTCGTATTCCATTAGAATCTAATCAAACTTCTATAGAAAACCAATAGGAAAACAAATATATAAACTCAATTAAATATATTTTCATTTTTGCCTATTGAAATTTTTTTTTGTAGTTTAATCAATAAGATAAATGAAGATTAATATATATAGATACACAATAGATACAATCTGTTTCTTTTTCTGATCAACAAAATTAAGTGAGACAAAAACCAAAATGACAAATCAAATGTTGTCGTTTTTTTTAAC